TAAGTACTACGTATGTTAGTTGATGCTATTTAGATTTTCACTATTCCTTTTATAAACACTTCCTTTGTCCCTCGATATTTAGTCAATTTGGATATTCTGAGTAAATGACGTTAAATATTGACGTCAATTTGTATTTGATTATAAAATAAATTGAAACTTTTGTTTGTAATAAATATCCTAATAAAAGTATAAATTCATATTTTTTCACAAAAATACATTAATCAAAATCATTGTTCAAAGGGAGGAAAAATCGGTCTTCTTCCTAGGGTTTGCGCTGCTAGGGTCGTTTTTCCGATTTCGATCTCTTTAGATCGAAGATCGGTTTTGTTTTTCTTGGTTTCTGGTTTCGGTTGCAGAAGAGAGGGGAGGAGAGCTCGAAGGATTTGGGCATGAAAACTGAAGGAGCTCGACTGCAGATGAAGATGACTGGAGTCGGTAAGCAAGGGATTGAAGGACAATTTCATGCAGATAAGGACAGCCGATCAGTGCAAGATAATGACAAATTGGTAATTGTTCATGCTGACGACGGGGCGGTCGAGTTGGAGGTAAACCGCTTTGATGCAATAACAATCGTCGCAAGAGTCCGGCCTCCTCCAGAACCACCGCCAAGGGTTGATCGACGCGGTTTGGAGTTTGATTATTTATTTTTCTGCATTTTAATTTACAGGTTAAGTCATTTGTGTGTTGTTTTATTTTATGCTGTAAGACTTTTGCATTAGGTTTGGGGGATGGAAAGTCTGCGGTAACCGTCATTGGCTTTAAGTTGCCCAATTTTATACTGCTTTTTTACAGGTGGTTAACTCTCAGTCTCGGCCACGGGCAGATGGTTGCATGTGGTTCTTTTCTGCTTTTGTACCCTTGCTGAATGCTATTTCTATGAATTAAGCCCTCTTTGAGCAAAAAAACATTATTCAAAGTTTACTACATTATAGGAAGTAACTGTTTTCAACATTTACTCCACAGCTTTTTCTTATTTGTACTACTCCAAAAGAGTACATTATCTAAATAAGAATTAAAGGTAACTAAAACTAAAAAACGGGACTACATTGTTTTAAATTCTCTAAATAGGATTAACTATGTGTGTTTGGACAAATATATATACCTCTATATAGCTTTTTGGACTAAAATAAATAATTAATAAAATTAATAAAAATACAAAATTATAAAAACAAAAAAAAAATCAATTGAAAAAAACTTAAAACGATAAAATAAAAAAAATAAAAAAATGTAAACAAAAAATATACAAGGCTTTGCCGCCACCTCTCTAGCTCTCCGATCACTGAAAAATGTCAATATGCATTAGTAATGTCATATTAATGGCAGTTTCAATGAAAATTAACATCATCAAAGAGTAATAATCCCATTTTCTTGGCATTTTCAAAAAGAATGGCCTGACAATTTTACACCAAATGATATTTTCTCTCCGATCGGAGGTGCTGCTGCTGGGAGGCGGTACAAGAGGTGGAAAAGGCGTCAATTTTTTTTTATGTGTTTTTACTATTTGTCATAAATTTTAAAAATTATTTTGTAAAAATTTTATCAATTTTTTATTATTTTCTTACGATTTTTATTGTTTTTTACGATTTTATCATGAATAAATAATCTTAGGAGTATTAAGGGTAGAAAAATAGTGTATAGTCCTATTTATGAAGGATTTAAACTTTAATCATATTTTTGCAATTATTTTCCATTTAATCTTATTTAGAGCAACTACTAACTCCAAAATAACAATTTAATATCCCTGAATGAAGTTAATAATATTAATTCACTCGCTGCATGTGATACAATCTAATGTATGAATGTGTGTATTTAAAAACTACATAGTTCATTACCAATTTAATGAAAGCACGGAGTCGTCTTAAATAAGAGTAAAAATGTTTTAAAGTTTCAAAATATAAGTAATACTTCCTCTGTCCCTAAATAAAAGATATTATTTCCTTTTTGGGTTGTCTCTACATAAATGGTGCATTTCCAGGGGTGGATCCAGGATTTCATACTGGGGTGGGCTGAAACACTTGTAATGATGATACATTAAAAAAATTAAAATAACAATATATATATATATATATATATATATATATATATATATATATATAAGAGTTTTCCCCTAAATTTGTTCTCGATGAGACTACTAAAATAATGAATCACTTGTAATGATGTATCATGAATCACATCATGAACATAGTGTTGTAGTTCGAATTCCAAAGCATGAATATCCTGACTACTAAAATCTTGGGGATAGAACTGCTTGCAAGAGTACAAATAGCATCGACATTGAATGACACATGAATTTTTGGGATCCAATGAAGCACTCAAAGAAAGGAGTTCCACTGATTTATCATTAAATAAGGTCCTTAACTCCATCAATATAAAGTCTATTGCCTTATTGAAAATATCAAAGTGATAACGATGCTCAACTGTAGTTTCTTATTGGCAACGACCAACCATTCATTTAGAATTCACCTCAGGTACATGAATTTCGTGTTTTGAGTAAAACTCATTTACTTCTTTAAGAAAACATTCTCATCCATTTTATGTCAATTCCCCCAAGAATAAGTTGTGTAGTAGAAACATATCTCATGACTACCAAGATATTCAATAATTTTTCTGAAGGCCTTGACAGAGAATACTTGTTATTCCATAACTTTGTACATAAAAAGTAAATTGAACACAAATTCAAAACATGGAAAGTGTCTGTATACATTAAGAACTTCTGTCCGAGAACTCACTTTTGGGCAATGCACTACTTGAGGATACTCAAGCACTTTACAAGTTGTTGTGAACATGCCTTGCCAATCAAGCTCTTAATTATATTAAATCATATTTTATTGTATTTATTACATTTATGGGTTTTATGGCTCTTATACGTATATACTAATTGTCATTTATTAAGTGGGAGGTGATGTATATACATTTAGATTAAATTTTTAGATGGTTAGATTTTGTTTTATGGGCTAGGCTGAAAAATTGGACTGGGCTATAGAAAAATTTGGGGTGGGCTGGATGGAATTTTTTAAAAATAATACCTTAAAAAAATAATTATTTTTTACTTTGCCCTGGGCTTCAGCCCACCATAGCCCTAACATAGATCCTCCCCTGTGCATTTCCCTTTTGGCAAACAATTTAATGCAAAACAGTGTCAAATTGTGTCAAATAGTGTTCAAACAATGTCAAACAATATTCCTTAGTAGGTTGTGTGCCAGTCAAACTATGCCTTTTATATAGGGACGGAGGGAGTATATTGTTTTCCCTAAATAAGAGTAATTAGTCATATTTCAAGCCCAATAATTATGACAGAATGCTGCCATATCTAAAGTCCGATAATGCCAAAATATAGCATTAAATTTCAGAATGAGAGTTATTTATTTCTATTTAAAGAAAAATACATGTACTTCTATTTTAAAGCCTTAAACCTGTTTAAAAGGAACTTCAATTTAAGAATTTGAATTTAATAAATAATCTATAAAATATTTAATTTATAATTACATTCTTGAAAATACATAAGATAAAATGATATCCTTTTAACATTTGCTTACACATACACGTAGTATAACTTAAGTTATTTTTCATTGCATGATTCACTCGCCTACCTTATCACATTCATTTTTTATTGGCATCATTTTTCTTTAAAGAAACAATCACTTATTTTAATATCATTAGGATTTGGATCGTTCCGACAAATTCAAAGAAATCAATACTGACAACAATTATCTGTAACCAACTGTACTATCAATCCTACATATAGAATTAGAAATGATCACCTCTGAAAGAGCAATACAAATCGTTAACCATCAGACGGATGTGACGACCCAATTCAACAATCAGTCAATCGCTGGCCATATAGATCCTTCTAATGACATAATATCTAGCAGCATTGTCAATTATTATTGTAGACCTAAAACGAAAGACATCAATAAATTAAAAAACAGAGCAACGTAAATGAACATAACAAAAAAATAAGACCATAAAAAATAAAATAACTGATAAATACTACAAACTCCCTGCCAGTTTTATTGAAATATCATCTTCCAAACTCTAGCACCTCGTACGCTCCAAGGCGACGGTTCAGGAGGGTGCCGACTGCCGATCTGTCTTCTCCCTTGCTCAAGACTTCACCGCTCCACGTCTGCTCGTCGCCCAGGCCGCCTCCACCACCGCCCACTGCCCTCCAGTCATGTTGATCCGCCAAAAACCAACCCTCCGACCTCCTCCGATCCTCAGTTGCTGAAATGGGATAACGTTGCTCTAGTTCATCCATAGAAGCCATGGTTATCCTTTTTAAACCTTGAATTCGTTTCCAAAAGCTAAATACCAAAACAAAAACAAAAACAACAATCTGAATTAAAAAGCGTGTCTTTGTCCGTTTGTTGGAGAAGCGGTTGTTTTTATGTACTCTTAAGCTACCCCTTTCTTTTTCCTATGGATTTTCAAATATTTGAACATAAAAAAATTCTTTAGTCCAGTAAAAAAACTTAAAATTTAGATCCTTTTTTGTCTATTCTTAGAAAAAAAATAGAATTTTCGCTTTGGTAAATGCTTTATAAAAGCCTAGAGGATAAAAGTCGCACGAACAATCAGCGGAAGGAAAGCCGCACAAACAATCAACGGAAGTAGAAGTGTAGATCCCTAAAAGCACGGAAAAAGAAGATTGGAGAACATCATTTTTATAAACTAATTTTTTTGGCAAACAATAAACTAATATTATTGTCTCATTAAAATTATTTTCTAAATAAAAATTATATCATCTTATAAATTTTTACTTAACGCTTACCTAAAATTCTGGATAGCTCAACTGCTCAAGTATAATGCTCCGCATGTAAATACCGGAATATGTAATAATGAACTTCAAATTTATCACTTTCGTATAAGTCTGTCCAATCCATAAACCATACCACAAGAGTCGTATGCATGGAAACAATCAAAGTTTCCAATCCTCCATATTCCCATTTCCCAAAATCTATAAATATAGTCGTTCTCTTATCACATGTAATTTGTAACACATTCGACTATATATCCACCCACAAAAAAGTCATATTGTAATAGTAGCTCATTAGCTCATATCATCAACTCCTTACATCCTTTGAATCTTTCATCATTACATTTTGGTCTTATTGAGTTTTCCTTATAATTATTTTTTAAGCTACATAGAGTACCACGCACATATCGTTAAAACATGTCTATGTTAAGAAACATAATGTTCTCAATATTATGGGTCCTCATTATGTTCCTTACGTTAGCACCATTATGTTTGGCTAACCTTCATGATGATAACGTTACCTTATATGATATGAAGTATATGGAAGAAGAATATGGGCATGACTTTCGGGCATACCCTTCATATATGATTAGTCCCATCAATGGGGGCTGGCGAGGAAGTGATAACAAGCTCCGGTTAAAAGGCTTGTCCTCAAGGAGTTTAGCTTCAGCTGCAACCATCAATGTCGATGACTATGGCGCTAGGGGCGATGGGGAACGCGATGATACAGCGGTACGTACGCATTTGAAGTATTTATCCCATCTTAAATATAGGGTACGATTCCGATAAAAAAAACTTATAGTGTGAACTACAAACCATTCGCTTAACTTTTGACTCAAAATTATTCACTTTAAAGTTAATTCGTCTCTTGCACTTTTTGGGTATTGGTCGATTGAGCCATGCCAATACCCAAAATCGTTATCACATTTTGGTAAACAAGTCAATTTTTTTTGTCAATGTGTAAACGTGCAATCGCAGAAATTATATTTAATAGTGCTTCACATTGATCAGGAAAGGTGAACGGCTTGCGGTTTTCACGAAAAGAATAATTTTATTTGATCCGGAACTTATGATATAAAATAATAAATATGGAATAATGTTTAAGATATTGGTTACTCTTAATATATTACGAATAGGTAATTTATACATTATCGTAATTTTTCAGGCATTTAAAAAAGCTTGGAAATCAGCATGTTCATCTACTGCAAGATCGGTTTCGTTTGAAGTTTCACAGGATAAGAAGTATCTTCTAAAACCAATTTCATTTTCAGGGCCATGCAAATCAGCTATTACATTTCAGGTTGGCTTATTTAGTGCAGTAATTAATTATTTAATCTTATATTTTTTTTTTACAAATCCTCGCATTTAATTAATTCAATTGTTCAATAATTAATATGGTTTTATATTTACTTGTATGAGTAAGATCTATGGAAGTATTGAAGCATCTGATAATCGGTCAGACTACAAAAAGCATCAAAGGCATTGGCTACAGTTTCAAAGTGTCCAAAATTTGATGGTGGAAGGTGGCGGAACACTTGATGGAAATGGGAAAATATGGTGGCAAAATTCTTGTAAAATCAACAAAGCTCTTGTAAGTCACGTTGCGTACCTAATTAATGTAATTAAGTTTATTTATTCGTTGAAATACTATTAATTGTATTCTGATTCTTTTATTTTGTTTGGGTTTTTTTTTTTTTGCTTTTTCCTCGCCGTTTACATGTAGCCATGCAAAGATGCTCCCACGGTAAGATATCTTCACTTCTTCACCATTTTTACTGTAGTGTTCAAAAAATAAAATTGTTACAAATAATGCGCGCTCTAGCTACCATATTTTGTATCCACCGCAATAAAGATAATATATAAGGATGTTTTTAATTGGACTGAAATCTTCTGATCTAATTTGATCTGGTCTGATCTAAACTAGTCTGTAGTCTGGTCTATTAAATATTTAGTCTCTATATATTTTATAACTATCCAAATTGGGGTTGGTTTGATTTGGTCTAGTATGCTCTGATATGGAATTGAAGATGGTCCAAATCAAAACATCCAAAGTCATCTAGTTATGACATGTTCTCTTGGATTGTTTTGTTAAAATGTTATTCTTATCAATATGCTATATTTGATTATTTTTTATGGTTTCATACCTTAATATGATATGGTTGATATTATAAAGAAAAATTTTCACTAATATTACTCATGAGAAAATGGTGTACAAAAATGTGACATAGGAAAAAGTATCAACGGTCTCATCATATGAGGACGAGATCTCAAACTAGGCTGGAGTATTGACTATATGATTGAGTGTCAATGTTTTTTGGGAGAGACTTCTATATTGTACTTTAGGTTGGGTTGTTTCACTTATTTGTTTCTCGTTTTTCCTCTCTTTTCTTTCCTTTGTAACCTTCTTGTTTCTTTCTTTAATGAAAAATATATATTAAAAAAAATGTGACATGATAACTTTTAATGATTTTAATTGTGTATGTTCGGTTTTAATGTTGTGTTCAAACTTTTATGTTGTGTTTTAATTTATATGCATGAAATATAAAATAATGTGGATTTCAGGCTTTGACCTTTTACAAGTGCAAAAGGTTGACCGTGAAAGACCTTAAAATCCAAAATGCACAACAGATACATGTCTCCTTCGAGAAGTGCACAAACGTTCGAGTTTCCAACGTTGCCGTAGCCGCGCCGGAGACCAGCCCTAACACCGACGGCATCCACGTAACCGGCACAAAAAACATTAACTTGACTGGCTGCACCATCCGAACCGGTAATGATTATTGAATGTTCTTTATCTTTTTCTTTAAAAAAAATTATTTAACCAAAATCTATCTATCAACTAATTTAATCATATTATTTATAGGTGATGATTGCATTTCGATTGTTAGTGGCGCCCGAAACGTTGTTGCAACAAATATTGCTTGCGGACCCGGGCACGGAATTAGGTGAGGTCCCCTCTCACTTAATACCGTTTCGAAAAGAAGTTCTCGCTTTCTTTTTATGGATGTCGAAGTTTTCATTTATAAAAATGGAAACCACTTTTAAGAAAAAAATCACAATACCCTTTTTATCCATATTTTGCTTGATTTGACATACAGTAAGGATATATTTGGAAAAACTCTATCCTACATAAATATGTGTAGGTCAAATAGGGAGTTTCATTTCGGGGCGGAGGTAGTAAGTTTTTAGAGAATCTCTAATACTACAATTTACACGTAAGCACATGTAACATGAGAGATTGAGAGATAGACACAACAAAAATGACAATCACAATATCTACTTCTAAACGTTGTACTTGACATTATCATGAAAACTTATTAAAATCATATAAGATCAGACCCTTCAAATAATTAGGAGACATATATCCAAATGATTATTAATATATTACCATTATTGACATGGTGATGGATTGCGTTTAGCATTGGAAGCTTAGGAGCGGGAAATTCGAAAGCTTACGTATCTAATGTTATTGTGAACGGCGCAAAGCTCTCTAGGACTACAAATGGAGTCCGGATCAAGACGTGGCAGGTAGCCTAATCCTGAATTATGAAACTATTGAATAGTATTATACTTGGTATTAAATTATGAAAGTTCTAAATTTTATACTTTTATGAAAGTACTTTTAACAAAGAACATCATATAATTTTTATATTATAAATGATTTTTCAATAAAAAGACGTAAATGGTCAAAGTTTTGAAAATAACAAAGTTCTTTTGGACCGAAGAGTATATATGTATTGAATTGGGTAGTACTTTGTACGGAGTATATTTTAAAAAGTCATGAACGAACATCTGCTTTTAGTCGAAATAGTTTGACATTTACGACAAATTTATTATTGATAAATGTAGTTATTTATTAGAGTAAATAACTAACACAGCACATATTTTGAAAACACACACCGATCCGAATGAGTACAATTCTTTTTTAAAAATGCTTGGTGTACACATTTTCGTGTACACTTTTTGTGCATTCATTTGTCTCACGCAGACAAAGTTGTCAGTTCACAGACAACTCTACAGAATTGTTTGTGGACAAACAATTACATCTATCTCATTCATTTTTACATTAGCAAATAGAATGTTCAAAATGGGATGGGTGAATAAAACAAATGTCAAAGTGCATGATTCCACCTAAAAATTAAAGAAGGGATGAAATGTGACTAGATCGTGATAATGATTATTGATGCTCATACGATTACAAGTTAGTTTTTTGTTGAGCTTTTGATTTACTTTTAAATTACTACTCCGTACTTTGTATGACATACTTCTTTAATAACAAATTATTAAATTCAGTTTTGTCACTTTTTTTTATTCAGTTTTGTCACTCCGATCTTTTTTTAATTCAGTTTTGTCACTTTGCGTAAGACAAGACAAGACACGAAATGGATGAAAGTTGTAGCTACATGATATAGTTTACATGGGTATATGTATTCATGCAGGGAGGTTCGGGAAGTGCAAGCAACATCAAGTTTAAGAACATAAAGATGTATGATGTGAAGAACCCAATTATCATCGACCAAAACTATTGTGACCAAAACAGGCCTTGCAAAGATAATAAGGTAATTATATATCATCAAACTATTCATCCTTAACATATGATCGAGCAATAGTCTTTCGTCATTTCGTGGGCTTAATTTGTAAATTGTTTTTGTTAAAACCATTTATCTTTAAACTAATATGCAAAACAAAACAACTTCAAAAAAATATACTGAGTAATAAAGAAATATCTGTTTACACTACCAAAAAATTAAAGGATTGACATGAATTTAGCACAGATTTATCAATGATTTCATGCCAGATAGCTCGTGTCAAATTGTTTTTGACACGGATTTGACATATTCGTGTCAAAATCTCTGCCAATTTTCAAAAATTGTCGCCAAAAATTCTCATCAATCGATCCCGTGTTTTTTTGTAGTGTTATTTATTCCAAAAAAATTGAGTCACATTTATCAGGTAAAAACTAAAGATTAAAAACATACTTGTAGTACTTAAATGCATTTCATGATATAAACATAACTTTCCATTGAACTATTGAATTTTAAGGGCTGTTATTTCTATTTATTTCTCTTCTCTTTTTTTTTTTATCCCATCCAAAATCAATCATTTTATCAAACACCTTGAAAGTAATGAAATTTACAAATTTAATAAAGTTTGCAATTTTAAATGAACACTGAATTTTAGCGGAAGAACACATATACACATCAAAATATCAAATACAATACACATTACGCACCTCAACATGAACCAACAATTCAATAAGTCTTTGTCCACTGGAACAAGACGATTTAGTTGGAATTGAAATTCCAAATCCAATACAGCCCCAGCGGAAGCATCGGTAAGATTGGAATATTTCTGCATGCCATTATTCAATTCCAATTCCAATTCCAATCGGCTCGAACTCTTCTAGCCTAGTCTAGGAGTTGAAGGAATTAAATTAGAATTTGGAAATGACACGGATACATTAGTCCTTGAATTGAGGCTTTTTAGAATGCTTTAATTGGGTCGAAAACATTCTTATTTTTTCTAATCAGAAGCAAAACCACGATTCGAGCTAATAAAACATTGGATTTTGGAAAATATTCATGCACATAACACATTGGAATTGGGATAGAAGTTGGAACTTCCCAAGTCCTCCATACGAGGCCCGACTTTGAGTTTTTAGTCTTCCTACTCTTCTCGAAAGTCTAAGATTTCAATTTTTGTTTTGGGCCTGATTTTTTTTGCATCCGAAAGAGCAGACTTGAATTGATTAAACCTACTCACCATTAGTACAAAAAAATATTGGGCCTAAATTTTTTTTACGAATATTTGGGCCTAGGGCCAATGCCCCAGCAGCCCCCGGGGCTGCCCTTGGGAGTATAAGTATACAATACATACATACTGTATTAGACAAGAATGATCATATCCGAACGTTCGGACAGAAGCCTCCGTCCGAACATCCTCGTTTGGGGCCCTTCCCGGTGGAAGTTTTTGATGAAATTTTTTGAGCATGTTCCTCATCAAGTCTAGTTTGTCCATACCAAATTTCAGCTCAAAATTCGATCGGGAAAGCATTCAAATCATTTTTCGAAGTTGACTGCGTCAAAATATACATATAAAATCCCAGTCAACTTCAAAAAATTATTTGAATGCCTTCCGGATCGAATTTTGAGCTGAAATTCGATATGGACAAACTAGACTTGATGAGGAACATGCTCAAAAAATTTCATCAAAAAATTCCACCGGGAAGTAGTCCAAACGTCCATGTTCGGACGGTGCTCGGACGGGGAATGTTCGTACCTGAACATTCCTCCTGGATCAGATATGAATAACATTTTGAAAATGGCATCAGAAAAATAACCGTTAGACTCTTTTTAGCATTTTTAATAAGTGAACTTTTGGAAAATAGATGTTTGATCCTAGCACTTTTGGATGGAATCGCTGAATGGAAACGTTTTTTTCGGTTAGCGTTTTAAAATATGACGTTTTCTACCAATTGTTAGTTATGACGAAACATCTTAATTAACAAACATCTTATAGCAACCCACCAACTTATTCCGTTAGTCAAATTCGCTGATCGAATCCTGTGTTGACAACCTGCTAATATAAATTGTTTTCCACTAACCGCTAAATGTCAACCACGTCCATACTCATTTAGAGTCTATTTGGTGACCACGTTTTTCGGCTTATTAGACAACTTTTTTAGCAAACATGTTACTTTTCTGGCTGTATTGGCCGAAATTACTATAGATCATCATTTTAGGTGTTTTTCATATTACTTTTTATTTTATTTTATTAATAAAATATATTTTAAGTAAATTTTTTTATAAATGAGCAGAATCAACGAATTCAGCCACTACATCCAAAACTTCATAAACTTCCGTTGAATCAACCAATACATTCGGTTTGAGTATTACTAAACAAGCTCTTAATGAATTGTATTTTGTTGCCAATTAAAGTGCTATTGTTTGAGTATTGCAACTCAATCGTATCTTATCTAGTCCTTAAGTTAGCCTAACACTCTAGTGCTTATTACGGAGTATAATTATTTGTAATCATTGTAATTTTATTAACAATCACAAATAGATTTTGCGTGGTATCACAATTTTGTATAAAATTTCTACGTGATCCTATATATCCTCCTCATTTTTTGGAAAACCTTTCTCCCTTCCACAAATATCATATCAATCTCGTGCCTTCGAATTTTTATCATTCGCGTTGTCAAGTTAAGGAAACCATCATCGACTTTGACGGTTTGACCTCTTAGGGCATGTCAAAGCCCCATTAATGTTCCTTGATGATGATAAAGAAGTCATCAACTCATCTTACTGAATGTAATAATACTGCTAAGATCATACTCTTAGGAGTTAGGATGTTTTTACTTGGACTGTAATTTGCTGGTCTGGTCTGGTCTGATCTGGTCTGGTCTGAACTGGTCTGGTCTGGTCTGGTAAGGTCTGGTTTCTTTGTATTTTTATAACTATCCAAGTCTGGTCTGGTCTGGTCTGGTCTGAACTGGTCTGGTCTGGTCTGGTCTGGTCTGGACTGGTCTGGTCTGGTCTGGTCTGAACTGGTCTGGTCTGGTCTGGACTGGTCTGGTCTGGTCTGGTCTTGTAAGTCACAAAGCTCTTGTAATTTGCTTGGACTGTAATTTGCTGGTCTGGTCTGGTCTGGTCTGATCTGGTCTGGTCTGGTCTGGTCTGAACTGGACTGGTCTGGTCTGGTAAGGTCTGGTTTCTTTGTATTTTTATAACTATCCAAGTCTGGTCTGGTCTGGTCTGGTCTGAACTGGTCTGGTCTGGACTGGTCTGGTCTGGTCTGGTCTGGGGCAAATTACAGTCCAAGTAAAAACATCCTTATGTTGAACCTCTTCAATCATTAATCAATGAGAAAATTCCCAAAATAGGAGTAAAAAGTAAAAACACTTTGAAATTTTAAAAAGGATTGTCATGTTTTTATTCTTTAGTCTTTACATAGGAGAAGTTGCTGCAAAGTTTGGAGAATGTTGTCATGTTTAAAGTCTGGTACTGCAAAAAATGACAGTAATTACTCATCCATTGACATTCAAGGAATAAAAATACCACAATCCCATTTTTCAATACACAAACCTTTTTACTTCTATTTAGACAATTTCTTTTAATGAATCTCTTCTTTCATCATAATTAACGGAGCATGAGATAATCTTATTCATAGCTATGTAAATGCCCGTCTAGGACAAATCGTGTGTCACAAAAACAAGTTACACAACAATCCACGTAGGATCGGATGATGTGGCTCCATTTTGGATTACAATATTTAAGGACATGAGAGATATGACCATTTGACCACATGACCTTGCCTTGACAAAAAGTCTGGTCAGCGTGGTGTTTATTACCGTTTGATGAATTGCATTTGTCTTACTTCCCAACGTCTCGTGCCCTATATATAATTGCTTAATCGGGTATATTTAGATATATTATGATGAAACTTAACTATAAAGTATGAAGTATCTCACACTTTCCCTAGGTTTAGGCGTTATGATAATAATTAAAATAATCACTACATTTCTCTACACTCATATAACTCTGTGGTAGCAATCAGGGCCGGTCCTGTCCATTGCTGGGCCTATGGGCGAAATACTATATTGGGCTTATACCCAAGATAACATTAAAAGGTTAAAGAGATCTGAAGACTAAAGAGATATGTCTTTTATTGATTCAACAACAATTGTGTGGCTTTAAAAACTACAACTGGTCATACTTAAAATTAATGTATATTCTTTTTTTAAACTCGACTTCGTTTAAGACATTTTACTTGTGTTTTATTTTCAACAAAAATAAACATTAGGCCTAATTAAAAAAGAAGCCTGCTCAAAGTATATATGCAGAAAAAATTGGGCCTATGTTTCTTTCTCTATATATTCGGGCCTAGGGTGGTCGCCCCTGTTGCACCCCCTCAAAACCGGCCTTGGTAGCAATTAAACATCTCCCTATGTTTAATTTGAAAGATATACCTCACTTTAATTACCTTTAGCATAAATTACCCCTTACACTCTAAAACACGATGGTACAGCTCAAAGAAACAAACTCAACGCGCCATGTTGTTGAAATTGGATTATCCCTTCAATTCTTCGTGGTAGTGTCCTGGCCACCTCTTTACTGCTGATCTCATCCTACGCATGTTCTTCGCAATATATAAATCCTCATAATTTGTACTCTGTCATAAAAAATCTAACTATCATTTGTGTTGTATAAACAAAAATAAAAATAACTATGCCTAACTTCAATGATCAATATATTAAATCGTGGTTATGTCTCTATCATTCACAAATTTCAACCCACGGGTTTCACCCCATGAGTTGTTAAGAAAACCCATGCAAATCCCACCTATTCTAATTAATTACAAATCCACACGCGCATTTGTATTTGATAAATGTGCGAATTGAAATTACTCTTCGAATTTGTATTCTTGTTTGAGTTTTTTGAATTCAAATAGTAATACACAAATTCAAATCATGAATCGAGTGCAAAATATTTAATTCATTTACAACCCTAAGTCGGTCTTTCTCTAACAATCAATCATAATCAAGGTGAACTATTTGGGCTATAAATTTATAATTCCTTAAATGGACTACAATTGACTTAATTAATTATTTAATTTGATTCCTTGTTAACATTTTTTCACTTGTGATTATTGTAACTCGCATCATATATCCGTAGAGTTAGAGTAGACCTCTTATTAGATTATTACTACCTCCGTCCCCCTAAGTTTTGGACAAGAGAAGGTGGCATGTTTATTAATAAAAGTGGGTTTATGTGGTTGATAAAGTAAGAATAAAGTAAGATTGATTTAGAACCACACAAATTTTACCAAATAAGGTATGGGACAATCTTAATGGGATGGACCGAAAAGGTAAAATGGGACAATCATAGCGGGACGGAGGGAGTATTATACATTTCCGTAACCATTGAATTTGTTATTATCAACTAATACATTTTACAACACAGAGATCAAATGTTCAAGTGAAAAATGTGGTATACGAGAACATATCTGGAACAAGCGCAACAGAAATGGCGATTGACTTTGATTGTGACAAGAGACATTCTTGCCGAGGAATAATATTGCGCAATGTCAATTTGAAAAGGGAAGGAGGTGGAGAAGCAAAGGCTACATGTAGAAATGTACGCTTCAGCAATAACATTGCAAATGATAATGTCTCACCACAATGCCAGCTTGGAGAAGATTAAGATATATGCAGTATTTATTAGTCAAATAATATTGTGATGTCATTTTAGAAGTATATATTTAGTGTACATCCATAAATGCACTTGTGAACTATGGTTGATAGATTGTAATTAGATATACATACCACTCTACACATATTGTATGCGAATGTGATATTTGTACAGTACATAATTTATTTGATTGCATTTGAATAAAAAAGAAGGTTACTTGAAATTTATTTGAGTAGTGCATATTTATGAGTATGTGGTTATTTTATCTATGTTCTTACTTTTTATAGAAATAATTATCCCATGTATGACTAAAGCTGCATCACTTTTCAAATCCATGACCTAGCTAGTTGTTTCCCCAATATATATTTAATTGAATTGGTAATATTTAAATAACATATTCGTCATTATATAAAAACAAAATGTTTTTGGGAATAGTCTTCCTGCCCAAACATCCCTAGAGTAAGGTGGTGCATATGGTGGTGCACACATACACATGAGATAAAATCCAAATTCCGATGGACCTCTATCCAGTCAATCATAGTTTTCACCCTTGACACATCCTGGATTACATGGCCAAACAAGTTTTGATAACGATCCCTGAAAATTGCAATGTTGTCAACAACCAGGACACTTGAATCATCCCGATTGCTTCTCAAGTACTGGTGTTGAATTCTAAATTCCTGACTTTGACTCCAAATGACACAAAACTTGAACCAACGCCTCGTAAACATAACTTGAGCTAAAATTGAGACTTGTGACACCTTAAAGCTAGGAAAACCATCAAAAGCCAATATCAACACGCATCAAATGCATGTCTAAATACAGACTTATCATTGGCACTATTGCTTTTAATGGTGCCCGAGTCTCGAAACCATAAGTCAAATATCCCAAAGGGATATTTGACTTAACTGGCTGACCGTTCAGTCAAATATCCTAAAGGGATTGTTGAAGACGTGTTGGTTAAAGTGGACAAGTTTATTATTCCTGTAGACTTCGTTATTCTGGACATGGATCAGGATCGTGAGGTACCTATAATTTTGGGCAGACCATTCTTGGCAACTGCCCGAGCACTTATTGATGTTGGAGATGGTAAGCTTGTCCTCCGCGTTGGGGATGAGACTGCCACCTTTGATATGTCCAAAATAATGAAGAGGCCCTGTCAGGATAGCGGAGAGTGTTTTTATTTGGATGACATAGATTCTATGGTGGAGGATTGCACTCCTAACATGCTTTCTAATGAAGCCATTTTTGACCTTTTGTTGAAGGATTGTGTGTTAGCGGAGGATCTTGAGCCCCTCCCTAGTTTTGATTGTCTTATGATTAGTGGAGAGGAGGACTCAAGTGATGCTAGTTCTGTGCAGGGGACGGAAGATGATTTAGATGAGGTGGAGAAGGAAAATTTTCAGTCCGATTCCTTTTTTGTTACTCCTTCTCTATTAAATCTAAAGCCTTTTCCATCCCACCTTGAGTATGATTTTATTGATGACAGTCCTGACCCCCCTGTTTTTCTTGCATCCGGGCTTGAGCTATCCCAAAAATCAGCATGTCTTAATTTACTTAGTGAACAAAGGGAAGCTCTAGTCCGGAAAATTTCTGACATGAAAGGGAGTTGTCCATTCTTTGACCCATTCTTTGCTAAAGGGCCTGATAAAGGTCAAGATCCATTCTTTTTCTTTACGGGTGACCCTGAGATGTGTAATTGTTTTCATGAATTTAAGGTCTTACGCCATCTCAGGGCATTTGTTGATAGGAGGTTTGATTTGTGGAAGACTAATTTTCTGAACGAGTGTCTTTGACTGAGTTTTTGATGAGGTGGTTGCGTCGGGCAAACGACGTTAAAAATAGCGCTACTTGGGAGACAACCCAAGCTTATTTCTGCACTTTTGTTTTTGTTTGTTTTCTTTCAAGAAACCCCCGAAAAAAAAACAAAAAAAAAATGGGGTGTTTTCTGTTTTTTGTTTTGTGTGTTTTGTGTGTTTTGTTTTTGCAGCTCAGGGTCTTGCTTTGGGGATGATGCCGAGGATCACTTGACTCAGTTTAGTTCTGCACCGACCAGCGCCTTAGGGAAGTTTCTGCAACTCTTATAATCGCTTGTTTTGTAAATAATTGACTTGATTTGATTTTGAGCACGCATGACCCTTTCTTCTTTACCCCTTAAGCATAGTGCATTTTTTGTCATCGAGGACGATGCCAAAGTTTAAGTGTGGGGGAGTGAATTGGGCATTCGGGCAGTAGTTGTTACATGTGATTATTAGAGTTAGCATGCGCAGGTGTTAGTTGTATATTCATAGAAAAGTCATGTCAAAATTTTTTGAAAATTTTTCTTTAAACTGTGTCTTTGTGAGCTGGCTAGCGTTTTGACTATGCTTTTATAATGTCCTTGAAGTGTTTAGGCTTAAATTGCTTGCACTATAATCTAGTTGTTGAGAGGATGAAGGCATTAGTCACCCATTTAATGAATTAACAAATTTCCCATTTGACCTAAAAAAGTCCTTTAGGAGAAGCCACTTTGAGCCTGACTGTTTATTCTTTACCCAATTAATTGAGCTCCATCGCCAAATGGCCTGTGTTTCCTTACCCGTGAATATTTCTGACACAGTCTTGGTGTTTAAGGAACTAGGGGATTAATTTGCTAAGTTTAGCGAATGTGTGTAGGAGCCATTTTGGCACTGTTCCTATGTCTCAAATGGGGTAAGAGCAGTCACTTTTTAGAAATTTGATATTTTCGAGGATTGCATTGTAGGCATGGATTCACGATTGAATTAATGAACTTTTAATTGCTATTTTTCCTTGGTGAGGCCGAGATTAGAATAAGGTAATGTCTAGTAAAAATCCGAAAGGTGAAAAATTAATATCGCTAGACCTCTTACCTTGCGAAAAAGAGAATGGGAGCCCCGGTCAAAAAGCGTAAGATGAGACTTGGGTATCTTTCGAAAGAAATGGCGTTCTCATGCCAACATGACAAGGAAAACTGAACCTAATTAATGAACTTGGAGGCTATTGCAAAAATTAGCTTTAGTCCTTCACGTACTTCAAGTATACGTCAAAGCACAAATGTGCCGCGGCGGTTTAGCTTAGTTGTACACCATGTCTACTCTTTGCATATAGATGATTGTTCCTAATTTGTGGCCTACTAAGTTCTTTGATCCTAAGAATAGCCCCGAAATTCCTGAATGCATTGAGTCTTTGTTAGAATGTTCCAAACTCTCAAGAAAGGAACTGTTTATCCTTACCATTCACCCTTCACCACCGTCTTCACAAGTCCTTCTGATCAGTAGCTAGTTTATTTGTGTTTGTTGTCACTACTTTGAGGATGTTGTGAATAATTTTGTCAAATATTTTAGCTAGAGTACAAAGATGTAGTTTAAGGAAGAATTTTCTTGGTTTAGTCTGCTTGTTCTGTAAATATCCCTTTCACTACGTGTGCATGCTAATTGTTTTGATTCCGTGTGGTGATTATCGTAAGTCCTGTTGTTCAGTTTGTTTGAGGACAAGCAAAGGCTTAAGTGTGGGGGAATCTGATAAGTCTGTATTTAGACATGCATTTGATGCGTGTTGATATTGGCTTTTGATGGTTTTCCTAGCTTTAAGGTGTCATAAGTCTCAATTTTAGCTCAAGTTATGTTTACCAGACATTGATTCAAGTTTTGTGTCATTTGGAGTCAAAGTCAGGAATTTAGAATTCAACACCGGTACTAGAGAAGCAATCAGGATGATTCGAGATGCATTCGAGAGTGGATTGAGAGATTTGGATGTCACCGGAAGGTTCGCGATGATGATTTGATGACAAAAGAGCTCTAGGATCGGCTACGGGATCAAAAGAAGACAAATAGAGCTTGAAAACGACGATCAGGATGACCTTCTGTCAATCGTTCAAGCATATATATTTGTAGACAAATCCAAAGGACACTAATCAAGTTTCACATGAAAGCCAACTTCAAGGGCTACAAATCATATGAAGACACCATTCCGAGAATATGAGAGGAGAAAGGTGAAAACAGACGATGAAGTCAGATGATCGCTGTTGAGATTTCAGAATGAGACCTTCCACCATTTTGATCATATCTCTTGATTGGATGATTCAAATCCAATTCCGCAAGTTGTGGTGGATAGAGGACCTCATTATCTACAACTTTTATGAAGGAAGTTTTGTCAAATTCAGAAGTTTGACGCACGCTGTGCGTAGAGGAACGCATGACCGTGCGTCCGAGGCTAGAAAGCAAGGCAGCTACTACCAGCCACGCACGGCCGTGCGTAGGGGGACGCACGCCGTGCGTGGCCATTTTTGCGCGATTTGTCTGTCGGACACACTGGGGGACGCACGCCGTGCGTGGGCTCTGTGTGTGCCCCCCAACAGTCCCGAAAACGCCCGGATTCCCCCGTTTTCTATAAATAAGGCCCCCATACCCATATTTCAAGGTTATGAACCTTGTGGAGAGGCCTAGGACGAATTTTATCTGCGTTTTTACGTTGTTTACTTCAAGAACCTGGGATTCTTTGTAAGTTCAATTCTTTTAATTAATGACAATTTATTCTATTCATCCCAATTCTGTTGATTCTTCAATTATGAATTGTGAGTGGTTTAATTAGAGATTTGGGGTTGATGAAGGGGTTAATCATGATAATGTATGGCTAGATTCCTTTCGGTTTAATTGCATGAATGTCGTTTAATTTGGTTTTGAATAATTTAACTGATATCTCTTGTAACCTAGACTGCAACTAGAATTACAATTGCATGTAGAATGAATTAAGAGAGATCTAATTTGTTCTAGGACACATTCACACACACTTAATCATTCGCTAAGATATTAGTAGCGATAGGGGCCGTAAGCTCGCTCGTCTTGGCAATAATTTAGGATCCTGTCGCATGAGAGATCAGCTTGGTCCCCTAAACTATTGTACTCTACGCCGCGAGAGTGGCAAGAACTTAGTAATGATTAGCTAGGCTCAATTAAGTCAATTTCATGTAATTAGGCCTGATCAGCCAGAAATCTGGTTAACCCCAGAATCAATCCTTGTTCCCTTCGTCGTTAATTAAGGAAAACCCAATTTTTTTACTTGCTCATTAGCATTAGTTTTATTTTACTCAACCAACCAAACTCGCAAAATAGCATTTTATTTTATTTATTTTTAATCGCTGAATGACGTGCACTTGTCGTGTGTGCACTCAAAATAAATTCAATACTAGCACTTATACGTAGTATAGCGTAGTAGAGTTCGTA